GGGGGGGGGGGGGGGGAGGAAAATGTCGTTTTTGCATACGGCTCTTTGCGGTTATTTGAGCCTCCGGCTTCAAAAACGATCCTACGGCACAGGTGAACATTTTGTTAGAGGAGCCTTTTCATCGTCGGCAACATTCATCATGGCCGGCGCCAATTCTCCAAATTCGCCAATTCGCCAGAACACGTGTGATGGGACGAGATAACACATGAACAGGATTAGACTAGATAACAATCGGCGTGTTTACGTTCATATTTTCCTCGCCCGCCTTGATTGACCTTGATCTCTCCTCGAATTACGCGCGGAACTGCGGGAGCGTCGGCCATGATGAATATTGCCGACGATGGAGCGACTCTTCTAACAAAATGTTCACCTCTGCCGTAATTTAGTTTTTGAAGCGGGAAACTCAAAAAAACGCAAACTTCTTACGCAGATTGTGAAGTTGAGAGTGCATTACAGACTTTGCCGATGCGCCTATCGTGATTTTTGAGGCATTCTCTGTTGGGAACAACTTGTATTTTTACCCCAGCAAAAGTTTGTAACAGGCGCATTTAAAAAACTGATTTTGGTTTAATTAAAAAATTGAGATTTTTATGTGTCTTTTGTTTAAAAGAAATTTTCTAGACTCAAAAACTCTAAGATTAAGCACATTCGTTTACGTGTAAATGTGATTTCGGGATTTTGACCTTTGGAATCTTAAAGCATGCAATTTTAGCCGATTCTTTGTCCAAATCGAGCTTCGATGTCTCTCTTCGCTCGAGAGACATCGAGGTTCACAGGTTTTGACTTCCACCCCCCCTCCCCAGCGCCCCCAAAATGGGGGCGTCTAATTGGGTCTGATAAGAAGGTCGGAAAAGAAGCGTTCAAGTATGAGTAATCAATAGACAAAGTTTGGGGAAGTTCCAGGGGTGAGGGGGGGGGGCGAAAAGAGCCGTTTATGCAGCAAGCTACATGGTTGTTTTTTATCTAAAGTGGGAATGAAAGAGAGGAAAGCTGCTGGGTTTACTTCTATAAAAACGAATATTCGAACCCAACAAACAAGAGCGTATATAATTTGAGAGAAAATGAGGGAATCGGAATTGGAATAGAAAGTTCTTCTTGAGAGAAGGTGAGTTTATTAAAAACGTGAAATGCAAAAACATGTACCACAAATATTTAATTCAATAGTCTATGAATCTTTCATGCACCTCGGGCATCAAATATAGATCACAACTGTGAGAAGGAATAAAAAAGAAAGAAAAAGAAGAGACACTTTGACAGCAAACGGAAAAATGGATTTAATTCTGAGTCTATCTTCCTGATTTAAAGAGAGTGAATGTTAGGCCTTAATTAATTTTCATCATTCTAGAGGAGAAACTCGGAACCCACATGCTTATAAATTTCAGTAAAATATTTCCGGAAAATATTCTTGGCGATATTTAAAAGTTTCACAATGCCAATTTTCTTTACATTAAAAAAAGTGTCATAACGCTGTATTTTGCTGCAAAATAATTAACCACTGGATAATGGATTCAATTCTATGCATATAAGCGCTATGTTTCGGTGTCTTAATATCATGATGAGAAATCATTTAATGAATTATAAATATGATGATGCGTCAATATACACAAATAGGTATTTGGACAGGATTTGAGTGAGAGTGTCAATTAAATGTTAATTATTACACTAAGACAATTAGACTTATCGATTCTTATCTCCGAAATTACCTGACCAATTTACCTCAGAATTTTTGAAGAGCGTTCTTGAATTGTAGATGAGCCTTTGGACTTAGATTTTTCGATTTTCACATTTGTCGTTACACATCTCGCAGCTCAAATCAATACATTTTCGACTCTGCTGCTCAACATTATTGTCCATCTTCAAACTTGGAAACTAGATGATGGACTTACTTCACATTTGTCATATAGGAAAATTTTGATCTTTACAGGTGTTCTCAGCCTACAGTTTTTGATTGTTTGGAATTAAAGTTGCGCAATTTCTTTTAAATTGATCGAATTTGTTTTAAAATCTATAACTTGAGCTGATTGTCCACTTCTACTCTTAAAAATTAGCCAACTGATTCACTTGAGGGTTATTTTAAAAGAAAGCCCCTAATCTGCGAATGTGCCCAAATTTTTTTTTTTTTGTTTTTTTTTTTTTTACATTTTGCTACGAATGTTGTAAAATTTTCCTCTTTTTGCACTATGGTATATTCGACTAAACGGCTTGAGATGCTTGTTCTCTTTGGATCTCTCGAGTTTCTCGACCAATTTACTTCAAGCCTACTTTTTGATCCCTAGAAAAGCCAGCACCTTTTGGTTTCCAATATTTTGACAAACATTCCAAAATTTCTCTGATCAAGGATACCAAACCTTAAGCGCCAGATACACCTGCAGGCTAGACGCGCGTATTGCCGCGAAACGTAGGGTTCCATCCTTCTTTGAGCGAGTTACTGGCGGCGAGTTGCAATCTGATTGGTTACGAAGATTGCCGAACACGACCGAAGGCCTACTCGCCGCTCAAGACTAGCTTCTAGCTCGTAGGTGTATCTGGCGCTTTAGAAGTCGCTATGTCAAAGGAAATTGGGAGAAATAACACAACACTGGCTGAAAAAATTGAAGAGAACAAAACTGCAAAAACATACGCAGCTTTCATTAAAACAAGTCCAATGGAAGTGGGAACAGTAGTTTTTAAGATCCCTATCAGACAAGCATCTTAAACTATGGTTTTTAAAACACAATGAATTTGATTCAAAGAGATTTTGGAAAGTTAGTTACAATCAAGAAAAAACCAAAACTGGAAGCACATGAGTAGAAATCAGACAAGAAAGTCAAGCATGAAAGTCAAAATTGCAACGTTCAGCCGCTCGCATGCCTATATCATCGACAGTTTTTGAAATTTAAAATTTAGAGACAAAATTAAGATTAAATTAATGGAAATGAGTGGAATGCTAGAAAATATATTTTAAAGCAAGTAGGTAGGTACATGAAAACTTTAGAAAACTAAAATCAAGGACTTTTCCCAAAGTTGTAGCTAGTGGTAAAATCAAGGACCTTTAGAACTTTTGAGGCCTTCCAGATATTCTTCATTTTTAAGACCTGTTCGAATGCATTAAAAATTAATCCTTCCTCTTCTTAGGCGGAAGCCTTAATTTTCTGCCAGCTATACAACATTTTGGAAGTCGATACCCCAGAAAAAAGAGTCCCTAGTTTCGAACAGCAGTAAATAAAATAACTAAGTTAAGTATGTAGAATACAAGGGCTTTCAACCAAGGATACTGGGGGGGGGGGGCAATCAGGTTTAGTGTAGGACTTGCTAAAGGCTTTACAAATCCCAGCAAGAAACTGATAATTCTGGGCAATCTCCTTGATGACAAAAAAATAACAAAATTTAGGTTTTACTTGCGAATATTCTTGAGAACCCTTTCATGGTTAAATTAAGAAAACATAAGGATGGAGGAATGATTTCAGTCAAAAATTTGAGCAATTAACTCCGACTTGAGAAGAAAGGATGCTCCATGGAGAGCTCGTGTTGGGCAAGTTACCCTGTATTTATGTGAAGTTTAGTATCGAAATACTCAGACAGAACACCAGGCTGTGAAGTAGGACTGGAAAACCGAGGCTGACGGGGATGCGAGAATCCTCGACCGCGGGCTCCTCGCATATTCGGGGCTCTTGGTTGCTGATTTGGCTGAAATCATAAAAATAGGAAAGTAATATTTACAGTAGTAGTATAATAGCAAGCAAAGCTAGTGATAGAAATACATCTCCCCCCCTCCAGCATCTAGTCGAAATTTTTCGGGGTTAGAAGATTTGGGAAAATAAGAGCTTGAGTATGAGTAATCAAAGATGGAAGGAAATCTACGATTAGATTAAAACATGGCCTCTTTGCATCGGAAAAGTAACACAGGGAATCCCTTCAGCCTGATTGTTGAATTTTTGTACTTGTCGGGACGACATAGATTAAATGGCAGAGTGTGATTGGTCGGCTATGTCTTATCGCTGCTTTGTCGTGCCTAAGTCGGGTTGAACTCACGACAAGCTAACTGCACCTCTTAAGTTTCCGACAGTATGTCGTTCGTTCCACCTGACAAAGGCACGACAAAGCAGCGATAAGACGTAGCTGACCAATCACGCTCCGCCTTATAACCTATGTCATCAATGTCGTCCCGCCAAACAAGAAATTTCAACAATCAGGCTGCAGGTGTCTAGGAGGTAAGTAGATTGATTTTCTCAGAGAAAACAGTTACAATGCTTGGGCTTTAACCACTAGCATTAAAAAATGGCGTCCTTGCATCAGAAAGGAAACACAAGAAATCCCTGATGTCCAGGAGGCAAGTAGATTGATTTTTTCTGAGAAGACAGTCGCAATTCTTGGACTTCAACTACTAGCTACTAACAACAAAGGCCAATATATTTTAGAGATCCTGCACTGATCACGCCACTTATTGCTAAGTGGTGATTCATGAGCGATGTTACATTCAATGCCTTAGGCTGTCCAAAAGTTGGTCTGCTCAGCCCAAGAAATTCATAGTTTTTCGAAGACTGAGGAATGTACCTTACTCTCTATCATGCTACAATTTTTCGTCTAAAATGATTGTACCCAAAGCAAGAAACCGGTTTATGAAAGCCGTTGCGGACTTTACAAAAAGCACCTCATTTTTGAGGACCTTCCTTTGACTGCAATTTTTATAGAAAGTATATACTTCATTTGTATTGTGGTTCGCCCTGGTAACGTCTCATTGAGTCGACATTTTAATAAATTATCCATCTCAAATATAGTTTATGAGATTTTATTGAGATAATGACATTTTTATAGTGTTGCGGACTTTACACCCTTAGACCTTTGTACCTAAAATAGGCTGTAACTTTAGTACCTAGTTTATGAAGTAATTGAATTAAAAAGTAAAAGCACTAAGTAGGAAAGCAAACTGTCACAAGTTCACAACGGTACATGAATTTCACCTTAAATTCAATACAAATAGCTGTGAGGAATTTTTCCGCAGTAAGTATCTGAGGTGTGATGGTAGGGCCGAGTTTCTATCTTTAAAATACGACTTAAAAATATATTTCGGCACAAATTATTCGTGAAAATGAACAGAACGGCAGAAGTAAGAGATGTTACATTTATCATGAGTATAAAAATGCACCTTTTTAGAACAATACAGGGTGTCCCGTACCACCCGTATACGACTATTTTTCTGGTTTTAGGTCGAACGATGTCGAAGATGGCAAAAATGAAAGGGGAATGGACCGCCACGGAATATGAATTTCATCCTCCCAAAGCTCCTCCTGCCACCATTATTGAAGTAGGGGTGCCAGTGTCCGTCAAAATCATTTGATGGAAATCATTCCATCTAACTCAGGGGGTACACAAAATTTTAACCTAGACCATCACCAAGAGATCCAAAATTGGCCAAGTGTGCTGCCCAGAAAAGGACCCCGCACACCTTATAGGCAGCTGCACCATGACCGAGTGCCAATTTATTTATGTCATTCGATTCTCCTCAAGATGCTGATTAAAAGTTATAATTGCGCCAACTTTCTACGATGCACCGTTTTCGCAAAAACCAAAGAGAAGATTCAATTATTCGGCGACTATGAATAAAAAAGAACAAAGCATTTGAGAACAGGCCCGATGTGAATGAGGAAAAAACGTAGCGCGTGTCCGTCTTCTTATCTGTACCTGCCGACTCAGGGGCTATCTCCCTCCCGCACTCGCCCGGTAGACGTTCAGACTTTCCTGTTCTTATGCTCCTCAAGAATCTGATTTGGATGGTGGTCGAGCAAAACGGCGTGCGGAATCCGAGATAAGACTACCTCTAGGTGTGGGAGTTCCCATGATTTCCTTGTTGACTCACAGCCGCTTGTCAATCGAGTACTGAAATGAGGAATCTTTCTGGCTTTTTATCGCCGAATAATTGAATCTTCTTGGCGTTTTTTTTGCGAAAACGGTGCATCGTAGAACGTTGGCGCCATTGTAACTTTTGATCAGCATCTTGAGGAGAATCGAATGACATAAATAAATTAGCATTCGGTCATGGTGCAGCTTCCCATAAGAGGTGTGTGGGGTCCTTTTCTCTGAGTTTTTCACTGCACACGAAAATATTTCATGTTACCATGTTGAAAAAATCTCGAGAAAGTGATTTTCGCGGGGATCAACAGACAACAGGAATGTGCGGCATTTCCAATATAGGCCCCTGCATGAGCACTGTAGGGCCGCTGTTACAGCAGGAGCCATAGGATAGTCACAATGACCATGCTGTCTAACACGAGGAGACGTTAAAAGTATAGACTTTTAATAATTAAATTGCATTTAAATGTACATCGCCAGGACTTTATCAAATATTTAAGAAAACAATTAAAAACATTATACCAAAATTAAATTTAAAATTGGACACACTTCGTACGTATATGTAAAAACAAAGTGAAACATAATAGGGCTGCTACAGTGTTGACTTGTCTAGATCTATATAGTGCATCGACCTTAATGATTATGTAGCTTGCCCTCCTGTATGTGCATCTTCAAAATCGTTTTTGTCAGTTGTGTTGATAACCGCCCCAACGGTGGGCCGCTCCTACGTGCGAATAAACGAGTTCGTATATCTATCTTCGGTCGTAATTTGTCTCTTCTTTTTCATCATTATCTAACATGGTAGCAGAGCGTGGTTCTAAAAGTTGGATAGCTAAGTGCTTAACGTGGAAATTTATTTTCGTAATATGTGCGTAACGTGGAAATTCATACACCGCCAAAAACGTGCGTGACGTGAAAATGTATTAATTGTGAAATACAGGGTGTTTCAGACCACCCGTACCAGGCCTTTTTCTCGGTTGTTTCAGGTCGTACGAAGTCGGGGACCGCGGGAATGAATAGAGAATTGACCCCAAGAAATCCGAATTTCGTGGTCCCGAACCCCCCCCCCCCCCCCCCCCCCCCCCCCCCCCCCCCCCCCCCCCCCCCCCCCCCCCCCCCCCCCCCCCCCCCCCCCCCCCCCCCCCCCACCNCTCCGAAAATTTCACGTGAAATTGACCCCTAAAAATCCAAAATCGGCCCATCCAAGGCCCGAAAATGACCTCCTAAAGAAGGCGACAGTACCCCCCTCCATAAATTCTCTTTGGTCTCAAAATTGACGTAGATTCTACAGAAAAAGATGGTTTCCCAGGTAATCGACCCCCAGAAATCCAAATTTCATGGTCCCGAAGCTCCTCTAGTCTCCCTTGGGGGGTAAACGGGGGGCCTAATTTTAAAAATCGGGGCTCCTTTCCGAATCGCAAATTGATTGCATCCAAATTGAGGAGCAGAACACATTTACATCTTAAGTGACCTCCAGAAGTTCTAATTGACCCCCCCGAACGGCAGAAAGTAACCCCCTGAGGAGGGGAGCTTCGCCCCCTCCAAAAATTCCTCAAGATTCATCTTTGGTCGCAAAATTGACGTCGATTCTTCAGAAAAAGACGGTTTTCCAGGTAATCGACCCCGAGGACTCTGAATTTCATGGTCCCTGAGCTCCGCTTTCCGCCCTTTTGGGATTACCTGCAGGGAAATCGTCTTTTCTGGAGAATCGACGTCAATTTTGCGACCAAAGAGGAATCTTGAGAAACTTTTGGAGGGGGGCGAAGCCCCTCTCCTCAGGGGGTTACTTTCTGCCGTTCAGGGGGATCAATTAAAACTCTTGGGGGTCACTTAAGATGTAATAGTGTTCTGCTCCTCAATTTGGATGCAATCAATTTGCGATTCGGAAAGGAGCCCCGATTTTTAAAATTAAGCCCCCCGTTTACCCCCCAAGGGGGCCTAGAGGAGCTTCGGGACCATGAAATTTGGATTTCTGGGGGTCGATTACCTGGGAAACCGTCTTTTTCTGTAGAATCTACGTCAATTTTGAGACCAAAGAGAATTTATGGAGGGGGGTACTGTCGCCTTCTTTAGGAGGTCATTTTCGGGCCTTGGATGGGCCGATTTTGGATTTTTAGGGGTCAATTTCACGTGAAATTTTCGGAGCTTTTCAATTCTGATGCGATTTATCCGCAATTCGGTCGAGAACCGTGACTTTTAGCATCGTGACCCCCCCTTAAGCTCTCAAGGGGGGATGGGGGGGGGGGTTTCGGGACCACGAAATTCGGATTTCTTGGGGTCAATTCTCTATTCATTCCCGCGGTCCCCGACTTCGTACGACCTGAAACAACCGAGAAAAAGGCCTGGTACGGGTGGTCTGAAACACCCTGTATTTCACAATTAATACATTTTCACGTCACGCACGTTTTTGGCGGTGTATGAATTTCCACGTTACGCACATATTACGAAAATAAATTTCCACGTTAAGCACTTAGCTATCCAACTTTTAGAACCACGCTCTGCTATAGTGTGCGGGTGTTTCAGACACCCTGTATGTGCTGAATTTGAACTCTTTCTAACTGACACAATAAGGCAAATAAAAGTACAAAAATCAAAGTGCCCGTATTTAATGGGAACAATTTTCCAACATGGAAATTTCGCAAGTCATTTTTGCTGGAAATGAACAATCGCAACAAATGTACTTTAAGTGATAAAAAACCGGATGGAATAACGGATCAAAACTGGGCCAGCATGAGACGCAGCGGGGGTCAATGTTGAAAATCAGCAACATTTCCGCAAATTTGTTACTCGAAAACCGAGACGTTTTGAAAAACGCGGTTTAAACGAGCATTCCCAGC